CAATTTACAATAGCTAAGATCTGGCAATAGGCCAACTGTCCATCAGTAGATGAGTGGATAAAAAAGCTGTGTATTTACACTATGGAATATTATACAGCAGTAAAGAAAGAATGATCTCTTATCCTTCGAGTTAGCATGGAGGGACCTGGAGATATGTTAAATGAACTAAGCCAGTCAGGGAAAGACAAGTGTCCCATAATCTCACTCATATTTAGAATCTAATGAACAAAATAAACTGATGAACAGAATAGATTCAGAGACACAGGATCATGGAATAGACTGTTGAATCTTAGAGGAAAGATGGGGTTGGAGGAGTGGGTGAGAAGAGATTAACTGAAGAACTTGTATACATTTCTGCATAATACATGGACATAGACAATAGTGTGGTAAAGGCCTGGGGCAGAGGCTGGGGGAGCCTAGAAAGGGTCAGTGGGTGAAACAAAGGGACATCTATAATACTTCCAACAATAAAGATGTTTTAAAAACCAAAAACTACTAATAAGAGAATTGGGCAAATTCTCTGAGTACCAAAATCAGCTTAAAAGATCAATTTTTACACCACTTAGAAATGATATTTTAGAGGATATCATCTACACTAGTATAAAAAGTAAGTTGTACAAGGAACACAGACAGAATCTTGTGAATAATTCATGTTTTCTATTAAGTAAATTCAAAGTCATCCTTAGGATATCACTTCAATGAATTTATATGCTGATGTTGAAAGAGAGAGACTAGTGTCCTTGTTTACTGAGGTGAGATTTTGCCATATGGCTGCTTTTGTCCTAATTATGCTAACTGTGGATAAATTTACATTAATGAATAATGCCAAGGATAGAAAAACAAACTGTAGACAGTGCATGTACTTCTACATTCTAGGGGTGCAAATATGGGGCTATGAAAATTTTTTGTGGGGTAACTAATGAAAAAATATCTAAATGAGAGATGAAGAACTGAGGTAAATAAGGAGTGCAATAAAATATTCATTAAAACATTCTTAAAACTGTAAATATAATATACTAAAGGCCTGGTGCATGAAATTTGTGCACGAGGGTAAGGGGTGTCCCTCAGCCCAGTCTGCACCGTCTCTAATCTGGAACTCCTCCAGGAATGGTGGAATCAGGCCTAAATGGGCAGTCAGACATCCCTCTAACAACCCAGGACTGCTATCTCCCAACTGCTCGCCTGCCTGTCTTCCTGATTGCCCCTAACCACTTCTGCCTGCCAGCCTGATCCCCCCCTAACCACTCTCCTGCCAGCCTGATTGATCCCTAACTGCTCCACTGCCAGCCTGTTTGCCCCTAACTGCTCTCCCCTGCATATCTGGTCCTCCCAACTGCTCTCCTCTACAGGCCTGGGTCCCCCGCAACTGCCCTTCCTTGCAGGCCCAGTCACCCCCAACTTCTCTCCTCTGCCACCCTGTCACTCCCCCTAACTGCCCTCCCCTGCTGGCCATCTTGTGGTGGCCATCTTATGTCCATATGGGGGCAGGATTTTTGACCACATGGGAACAGTCATCTTGTGTGTTGGAGTGATGGTCAATCTGCATATTACTCTTTTATTAAATAGGATAGAGGCCTGGTGCATAGGTGGGGGACAGCTGGTTTGCCCTGAAGGGTGTCCTGGATCAGGTAGGGTTTCCTTTAGGGCATGGGGCGGCATGGACAAGGGGCCTGTGGTGGTTTGCAGGCTGGCCACATATCCCGGTGACCCAAGTGGAGGCCCTGATATCTGAGATTTATTTATCTTCTATAATTGATTTATAGAATTTATCTTCTTCTGCTTGCTCCATGGCAGCAGCCATTTCTGTTGGGATTTATTTATTTTCTATAATTAAAACTTTGTAGCCTTAAGCAGAGGCCAAGGCAGGCCAGGCAGGTAGAAGGCTTGGCTTCCTCCATCTCTGGGGGCAACTCAAGTCTCCTGCTCTCTCCAGCTCTGTGGCTGCCATCATTTTTGTTGGGATATATTTATCTTCTATCATTGAAACTTTGTAGCATTGAGTGGAGGCCTGGGCCAACAAGGGCAGGCGGAAAGCATAGCTTCCTCCATTGCTGGGGAAACCCAAGCCTCCCTCCTGCTCTCTCTGTGGCCGCAACCATCTTGGTTGGGTTTATTTGCATATTCGCTCCTAATTGTCTGGTGGGTGGGGCTTGTGGATGTAGTGGCACACAGACACAAAGATACACAAATACAATCACTGCCTAAAATCTACAATATTGATAATCTCAACTTTAGTGCACAGAGGGATAGAACAATGCAATTTTTAGGAGAACCAAATGGTGTCCTCTCTATTAGGTCAAAAGGTGGTAGATGGAGCATTTTAAAAATTAACAGAGACTATTCAGGAGATATCCATACTTTTGTTCCCTTCCTAAATTATGGGATTATAGTTAAGGGAAGTTTTGTCTTAAGAAGCCAAACTTCATCTCACATGTGGAACATCTCTCCATTTGCAAACTGCAGATATTCATATAGCTAACCTATGTGTTATCGATAAATTGCTTTAACTTCAAATGCACTGAGGCCTTCTTGGGTGTCACTGAAAACCAAATTTGGCCCTTCACAGTTGATTCAAGCAGGTGGCTTACTCACTAGTTGTACACTCTTCCTCAGAGTTCCCATCCCATACTACCTTTCATTCTTTACGATTGCTGGATTGGGACTTGTTAAGTGAGGTCTAAAGAAATATGCTTATGTTCTGCACATGGGGGGATAACTCCGTGGTGTCTGTGGGCCTTTTTAAAGCTTTGTTTATTTAGCGTGATGCTATGCAAAGCAATTGAAACAGAGCTCTCCAGTGTGTTCTTTTGAATTTATGAGAGATTTTTCTCTTAGAAGGAAACTGCAGCAATTAATTTGACACCCCTTGATCTTGAACTAGGGGAACATTAATAGTGTCTAGCACTGTGCTGCTGGCATGTTCAGAACTCAGAAATATTCGTTGATGGGCTGGTGGGACAATACACTGGACAAGGACAGACACACACATCTCAAAGCAGCAGGAAGTGGGGCCTTGCTGCTGTGATGTATTATCTTTGCAACTGGAAAGGTCTAAATGGAAACCACTTAATATTAATTCTTAGCAAGCAGTCTAGAGAAATGAGGCAGCTTCACTTGGAGATTCTAGCTGTGCGTTATTATTTTTTACTTTTAGTTTTAAGGCACCAAAACAAATTCAACTCCCTATTTTTCCATTCAATTAAAATCAGAGTTAGTGTTTATCTGGAATTTTTCTTTTAAGCTTCAGCTGTTCAGGACTAAATTTAAAAGATAAACATGAACTCAGGATGATGCTCAGCTTGAAGGGAGAGAGCGAGATTAGACAGCAGTTTTTCAGCTAATGAGCTCACATCCAACTTTACTGAGAAAATTTAAGGAATCAAAAGAAAACTTCTACCAACTCCAACACACTATATCTACCCTCATACTCATATCCCTCTTGCTAATGATGAATCATTAAAATCAGAATATAAAAAATGTGGTTTTGGGGAGCACAAGAGACTTGGTTAGAAAGTTTGTAAGTGTATGTGCAGACCCCTAGGTGTTTACTGGAATCCTTATGTTTAATCCCTGGATGCTCTTGCCTAGAGGACAATGTAAACCATGTGTCCTCCCAAGATTACTCACCTACTGATTGTATCTGAAGATAAAAATTTCCACTGAAGGCCTAATGAGGCAGGCAATAGAGGCTGCTCTGGCTACTAAATCCAGGGGCCCCTTAGTCCTCTTTTGCACAAACTGTGTCTGAGTAATCTGTTCATTCATCGTTCAGGGGTTTTTTTTCCGGTCAGCCCTGGGACTGTAGTTTATATTTAATGCAATTACTGATGTAGTTGGGTTGAAAACTACTGTCTTATCTGCTTTCCATTTGTTCCATCTGTTCTTTGTTTTCTTTCTCCTCTTTTTCTGTCTGCTTTCAGATCTTTTGCTGGTATGTTAGCTATAACTCTCTGTATTATGTAATGGTTTCTTTAGGTTCGATAATATCCTCTTTAACTTATCCCAACTTACCTTCCCTCTACTTATATGTTAAACACCATGCCATTTTGCTAACACTTTTGGTTTAAATAAGAAATTGAAATTATAAAAGTCTTTTTTAGCTGAAACCAGTTTGGCTTAGCGGATGGAGCATCGGCCTGTGGACTGAAGGGTCCCATCGATTCCGGTCATGGGCATGTACCTTGGTTGCGGGCACATCCTCCATGGGGGGTGTGCAGGAGGCAGCTGATGGATGTTTCTCTCTCATCAATGTTTCTGGCTCTCTATCGCTCTCCCTTCCTCTCTTTAAAAATTAATTAAAAAAATATATTTTTTTAAAAAAGTCTTTTTTTACTCATAGTTTCATTTCCACTGCTGTTTGTTTCTTGTGTAGAACTTTATGTCTTACACTTTACACAAAACTAAATTCAAAATGGATAATAGACCCAAATGCAAAACTTAACATTACAAATCTTCAAGAAACGTAGGAGAAAATCTTTATGACCTAGAGTTAAGCAAAGATTTATTAGATATGACCAAACTGAATTTAAAAAGAAAATAAAAAAGTTTATCAAAATTAAGTACTACTGTTCTTTGAAAGATACTATTAATAAAATAAAAAAAGTCATACACAGTCTGGGAGAAAATATTTCATACCATAATATATAATATATAATATATGATATACGATATATAAATATATGTAATATACATTATATATAAGATATATAAATGTATTACATCAAATTTGAATGTAGAGTATATAAAGACTAATAAACTCTCATAAGAAAATTAGCCCAATAAAACAAATGGACATAAGATTTGAATAGACACTTACTAAGGAAGACATATGTATGGCAAATGAGAACATTAAAAGATGTTTAACAGCACCAGCATTAGGAATATGCAAATTAAAACCACATGAGATTCTACTACATACAAATTAAAAATATTATTTCTTATAAAACAGACTGACCATAACAAATGTTGGCAAAAATGTGGAGGAACTGAACACTCATTTACTGGTGTGAATGTAAAATGGTTCAACCATGTTGTAAAATGGTTTGACAATTTCATAAAATTAAACATATACCTGCCATGTGATCCCACTAGCCCACCTCTAGGTATTTTGCAAAAAAAGAGCATATATCTATGCAGAAACTTTTACATGAATGTTCATAGCTTTGTTTGCAATGGGAAAACACTGGAAGCAATACAAATACCCATCAACCAACAGACGGAGAAACAAATTGTGGTATATCCTTGCAAAAAAAATACTACTCACGAATTAAAAACAATAAATTGTTGATGCATGAAACAATGTGAATGAATCTTAAAATAATTGTGCTGAGTGAAAAGAAGACAGACAGGAAAGTTTATATACTAAGTGATTTATTTATATAAAATTCTAAGAAATGCAAACTTATATGTAATGACAGAAAGCAGATAAGTAATTGCATTTTATATAAATGGAATCATTTAGTGGTATGGGAAAAGGCAGGAAGGAGGACTTAGAGAGAAAAAAAACTTCATAGGTAACAGTATGTTTATTAACTTGATTGTAATGATGGTTTCCTATAACAAAACATGTCAAATTATACCTTTTACATTTATGCAGTTGATGGTATATCAATTACAACTCAATAAATTTGTTAAAATAAAATAGACAGCCCTAACCAGTTTGGCTCAGTGAATAGAGTGTCAGCCTGAGGACTTAAGGGTCCTAGGTTCGATTCCAGTCAAAGGCATGTACCTTGGTTGTGGGCACATCCCCAATAGGAGGTGTACAAAAGGCAGCTAATCGATGTTTCTTTCTCATCGATGTTTCTAACTCTCTGTAAAAAAAAAAAAAAAAATTGATAAAATATATTTTAAAAATAAAATAAAATAGACATAGCCCTCTGCTCTTTGGTAGCTTACATGAAAATGGGGGAAATAAAAGATAAGATCTGCTGATGCCTCTGTTTTTAAATGCTTTAACAGCATTATGGTTGAGTTTATGTGAATCTGCTGGAACTGTGGTTGGCAAACTGCGGCTCACAAGCCACATGCTGCTCTTTGGCCTCTTGAGTGTGACTTTTCCACAAAATACCATGGCCTGGGCGAGTCTATGTTGAAGAAGTGCCATTAAAATAAGTTTAAGTTCAAAAAATTTGGCTCTCAAAAGAAATTTCAATTGTTGTACTGTTGATATTTGGCTCTGTTGACTGAGTTTGCTGACCACTGTGCTGGAGCATGCACAAGGGTTGGAGCCTCCTCTCAGGCCTGTCCCACCACCCAGACTTCCTGGGGCCAGACGGTGTGTCCCTCTCCTTGCTGCCCTTGCTCCATGGAGGTCAGCGCACCTAACCAAAGGGTGGGGATTGGCATGCGCCCTGCTCCTGGGAGGTCTGCCTGAGAGTATCCCTGCACAGAGAGACTGTGACATTAAATAACAAATAAAAAACACCATAATGGGTTGAGAGAGAACATAGAGAACGAAGCCGTGTTCCTGATTTTTGAACCAGGAGCCCCACATTTCGCTTTACACTGCGTCAGGGACACTGTGTCTCCAGTTCTGTCCATTTCGTCAGGAAAGCATAGCTGAGTGAGTGGGGAAAGGAGCAGAGGAGGGAGGGTGTGGAGGCCGATGGAGTCCAAGTCCATTGCGAAAATGGTTCACAGCTTGCCTATCTCAACCCTGGCTGTGCATTATTTAAACAACGTATGAAAAAGCAATTACAATGTGCCACGTGCTGGGCTGGGTACTGGAGCTGCTTTACATAGGATGATGAGAAAAAAAAAGTCACATTTGGCCTGAACCCCAAGTGCCATCTGATCTGAAGCCAGCCGGGAAGATCTGGGGACTGGTGATCCAATCAGAAGGAACAAAGCCTCCAGGCGGGTGAAAAAGGCTTAACTAATAGTGGTTTTTACTGTGATATGTGAGCAAAAATAGTCTCACAAAATAATGACCATGACCCATAATATTTAACTGAAGAAATGTTCTTCTCTTTGACCTTAAAGTGGAAACTATTTAATCTACTAAATTAAAGGCTTGACCAACCTCTAAAGGGTATTATCATTTACTCTGTCCACTAGAGAGCATTGATAAGCTGTTGAACATTAGTTGTGACCTCTATTTACTACCATGAGTTGAGATTAAATGCCTCTTTGTTACTTCCATCTTTCCCTGAAATATCATTTAGAGTAAATATATTCATTCCAAAAATCTTGCTTAAGCACATCTCATATTCAAAGTCTCTGTAGGAGAAACATTGAGGAATAAAATCTCCAGATTTTTTGGAAGCTAGCAGTGGGCAAAAGGCACTTAACCTTGAGAATTTAATGAATACTACAAGAGATACAAAATCAGTGCCTGCTGGGATAGAATCCAGGAGGAGCCTAGCTGGGGGGCAATCCTTATTATCTAAGGGTTAGTGTAGGGAGGTTCTGTGAGTTGAGCCAAGAAGCTGTGTATGTCAAAGAATCAGAAAATATCAGTCTAAAAAATATTATGGATTCTAAAACCTTGGTATCTCGTGTATCATACGTTTTCCAAATTCTTCCTTAGCACTCTTTAAAATTAGATTCCAAGTATGCTCATTTATCTTACCAAACTTCTGCATGAATCAATTTGCTTTATCAGGTAGTGTTCATTTCTTCTCCAACTACATTAAAGCAAAGCTCATACCAATTTTTTTAAACAGTATAATCCCATTAACCTAGCCCAGTGGTCAGCAAACTCATTAGTCAACAGAGCCAAATATCAAAGGTACAATGATTGAAATTTCTTTTGAGAGCTAAATTTTTTTAAACGTACACTATATAGGTAGGTACATTGTTATTAACTTAATTAGGGTACTTCTAAGCTGGCCTTTGCTAAAAACTCAAGGGTCCAAAGAGCCGCATGTGGATCACGAGCCGCAGTTTGCTGACCACTGACCTAGCCCATCTAGTAAGACAGTCCCTTAGAAGCATGGTTTTAATAGAAATTTTCAGCAAATTTGATGAATTGTCAAACTCAACTACAGTTCAATCTAATACTGACTTGGTAAGATAGTTTTCTTCCTTGGGGGGAGTGGGGGAGACTTATGCTAAGGCCAATTCTTAGAAATTTACATTTAATTGTCCTGATACTCATTAAAACACATATATTTTGTTATTAATCACTAAGAGGTACAAATAAGTGAAAGCTATAGAAAAATACCTAAGTTATCATTTTACATATTGTTTTTAATTCATATCATTTGTCTTCTCAGGAGTATGATATAAGTAAGTGCCCAGGCTCTGAGTTTATTCCCTGAAACTTACAAGCAGAAAGTTATAAGAGCTGGAAATAAGAGCAAAAGAATGACTTATGGTTTTATAAATATTTAATTTTAATTAAGTAGGATATGTTCAGTTCTTTTATTTTACACATTAAAAAACAAACTGAAGCCCAGATAGTTTAATTGACTTGCAAAGACAACTGATGAAGCCAGAACTAGGACCTAGTTAATTAGGCCTTGGGTCTTATCCAACTTGACTTGACAATGATCTAGAGGTATAGCATATTGAATGCTGACTTACTTTGATTTGCAAGGAATTGGGTTACAGGAGTTTAGGCTTGAAATCATGGTGATAGCTTTGCAAATACCACATTAACATAATAAGCAGATTTTGATTTTGCAAGGGGATGAACTTGAATATCTCATCAAATACTAAAAATTGATTATTTAGATTAGTTTAAAGCTCACTTCCATAATTTCCAACAAGCAAGATTTAACAGCCAATGGATCCGTGCATTGCACTAAGAATCAAGGCAGACACATCATCAATCATTGATCACTGGACATTTCTAGGCAAAACAGCTCATTTTAATGAATACTAGGATTCCTGTAAGAACATGCCCTCGAGTGACTTGATTACTGAGAGCATTTGTAGGAAAACATTTAACTCCAATAATTAGCAAGATGGTTCATTGTGTATCTCTGGATATTGATGTCTGTTTTTACCTTCGATATAAACAGTGGGCAAATCTTCACTGATGCCTTTTATGGCTCCCAGCACCTTCCAAGGATCAATGGAATCATTAGGAAATGAAGTATTTTTCCCCATCACATTCAAGCCATGGTAGGACTCACTGGTGACCTAAACAGCCTGAGCTACTGATCTGCCACTGAACCAAGGCTAAAGAATCTGAACATTGCTCTCCAGGGACATCTTGGTGAGGCAGCAGCACGTCCCTGCTCTCCTGAGTCCCAAGATGCTGCCCAAGGACAACAACAAGAAGACAGATGCTGGAAAGTCAGCCAAGAAAGACAAAGACCCTGTGAACAAGTTGGGGAGGGGGGGGGGGCAAGGCCAAGAAGAAGAAGTTGTCCAAGGGCAAAGTTCAGAACAAGCTCAATAACCTGGTCTGGTTTCACAAAGCCACTTTTGACAAGCTCTGAAAGGAAGTTCCCAAATGCAAGATTATAACCCAGTCCTGTCTCCGAGAGGCTGAAGATGTGTGGCTTTTTGGCCAGAGAAACCTTTCAGGAGCTCCTTGGTAAAGGACTTAATAAACTAGTCTTAAAGCAAGAGCTCAAGTGATTTACACCAGAAACACCAAAAGTGGGGACGCCCCAGCTGCTGGAGAAGATGCATGAATAACAGATCTCACCAGCTGTACATTTTTAAAAATAAACCTTTATTGGGAAGGAGGAGGAGGAGGAGGAGGAGGAGGAGGAGGAGGAGGAGGAGGAAGAGAATCTGAAGAAGAAGGCAAAGAAGAAGAAGAATCTGAACATTGCTGGAGAAAAAATGCAAAATAAAGTTTGGAAATGATGAAGAGATTAAATTTTCGATCCTGCGAAGCAGATGAGAAGGTATAAAGAAAAAGATTATAGGGAATTGATTTTTTTTTTTTTGCTTTGTTTACTCCTGAGAACTTTGATTCATTGAAGTGACTAAAAGAAACTCTATAATTAAGAAAGAAATTATTTAAAAAGCCAATGATCTCAATATGGTTATTTCGCATGGAGAAATCTCTTCAATATGCTAAACTGTGAGTTCCTTATCAGGCACCTAAAAATAGTATGATACAATAAAATTGCTTTTCATTTGACTTGTGCATATATTTACACAAGTCTATACAAATAATATTTATTTTGACTCAGCCAACAGCATGCACTGAAATCCTGTTCCCTAGAATCTCAACTTCTATGTGCATATGAAATGTTGGATTTAGACTAAGCAGAGAAAATTAAACATTTCCTAATTAAAGAACTCATAGTCAAGCCTAGAAAAATTCCTAATAGTGAGCAGGTTAGCATTTGAGAAATGCAGTACTTTCTAAGTTAACTTGTAGGAGTAACCCTATAGGATAATGTCCAGACTCCTCAGCAAGGTCTGAGACCTTTTGAGATCCAATCCTACCCACTGGTCTAACCTTACTATCTGGCCCCGCACCCTGGTCCAATCTCATCTCCAGCCACTGTGACACCATCCCACCTACACTCATCCTCAAGCTATACTTCTGCAGTATTGTACATAGCAAAGGAGTTGTTTCCATAGCTCTAAGCCTTTTCCACTTCTATTCTTATCTAAAAAGAATAATACTCTTCTCCTTTGATTTGCAGATTTCTTATATTTCTACTTGAATCAAAAATTGCTTCTGAATTTTTCCCTGATCCTCCCCTATTGTCTTACTAATTCATTTTCAGAGTTTCCCCTATATCCCTGCAGGTGTTTCTATTAAAGCATTCATCCCCAGCCTCTATCCCAGTGCCTGGCTCAAAACAAAACCAAAGAATCAAAACTGTGAATAACAGTTTAGACATGTGATTCCTCTAAAATCTAGCAGCCATATCAAGAATCTATGCATCATCTATGAGAGTTTATAACTTTCAGCAATTAGGGAAAGATGCCATTAAAGCGACCCAGGATGCCAAGAATGGGCTTGAGGAATGATTACGATTGTAGATAAGAAGGAGGAAGTGGGCATCATTGAGAAGGTGGGTAAGGCATATTTTAAAAAGCTGAGGAAGAGCATATCCTAGTGTTACGCCCAGACTTTGTGATCCCCAAGGACCACCAGGAAGCCGAGTCTGATGCAATAAACGAAAAGCCTTTTCCATGCTAGCATGGGCTCTGTCCCACTCATGCCAGCAGCATGGTGCAAGAGAGAGCGAATTTCGCCCAGTCCAGGGGTTTTACTCTGGTCGGTGGTGATGTCACTGCCTCGGCTAACCCTGATTGGTTGGGTGAGGGCTAGGGTTCAATTACAGAATGGAGGATAACTCCGCCCTGCCCCACAGTGGAGTCAGGAGCCCATCCTCGCCCTGCCCTGCCCTCTCACTAGTACCTCGCAGAGTAACTGTGCCTGCTCCAGAGTGAGCAGGGTGAGGGCAGCACTGGGAGCCACTGTAAGGACAATAGCTGTTCTCCAAAGGAAAATGGCTATCTTTGCACAATCTTGAGCAGAGAAATGTGAGATCAGGTTTGTTCATTATGGATCACTAGCGCTGGGTTAGAATAAATGCAGGGGCCAGTATAGAAGCTGGAAGCAGGGTAGAAGGTTGTGCTAACAACTCAACTGAGAGCAGGTGACAGCCTTGCAGGCAGAGCAGAGAAAGGGTTGGAGTCTGGGAAACTGTGGATCCAAAAAATTAAAAACAATCTTAAACATAGATTTTTATTTTCCAATTAATTTTGGGATATGGTCTCAAGGAATTTTCTAGTTCTTACCTAGACAAGCAATTTGGAAACTTGGCTGTGAGGCAAGTATATTAGTAACACTATTGTGTCCTCCTTCTCCACAATTATCTTTGTATATTTGCAGTTGTACATTTGACAGGGATGTGCAGGTTAAAAAAGGAAAGGCTATTCCCATCTCACAGGGTATGGCATACGCTCACATTTTTCAACCCCACAGGTAAATACCAAATGTCATCAGGTAATACTTGACCCCCTCCTACACCTCAGCTTTCCGAAGAAGAATCAGCCAGTCCCTCCACCTATTGCTTGTCACTTAGATCCGGGCACGGAAGGCCATTTTCCTCAAACACTAGACACACAGTTGCTGCATATGTATCGATATCATGGAGGTGAACCAAGGGAGGCATTGGTCATAATTGTACATGGGTCAATAGTGACCTGAGATCCCTATACTGTCTGTAAATACAGAATTTCATTAGTCCATAACATACAAGCTCAGCAACAAGCCACTCATCCAGGTAAGAACATAGGACAAGTTCGCCAGGACTTGGAGGTCATGGAAGTTCAAATGCTGACTTGCCCCATTGTTCATGTGACTGTGTTCAAGCCACTGAAACTCCTTGGTGTCTCTCATCTGTATAGCAGGACTAATGTGGAGCTGTGAGGATTATAGAAGAGGACAAACAGAGAAGACTTACTATAGGGCTAAGGCCAGCTAAGCCCTTGGTTTATGGAGAAGGTGTTCATTAACTATATGGAACTTTTCAGGGAACTTAAATGTTCATTTCTGGGCAAATGTACTTTTATAAGAAGCCCATTAAATTGGCAAAAGATCAAAGTGTGTGTGCTCTTTGGCCTTCTGGAAGAACAATTCTATTAGCACTGGAAAGTAACCTCTGAATTCTAGCCAACATTTTAAATTTTCATACAGATCACTGGAGGCCAGCAATAAGTCCTGAACCGATAGTTATCTTTGCAGACAATTCCAGCCAGCTGAATGGGAGAGAATGTCCCTAGGATAAAGTTAATGTCCCTCTTCCTTTGCATTAGAAGGAAAGATTGATGGGAATAAAATTAGTGACACTTTGATAAAAGCAGCTCAGAACCCTTCCCTGTATCATGACAGGGAGAGGATGGCAAATATGGGTCTTCCATCTCCACAAAGACATCAAAATGCATTTTAGTTAGTGATTGAGAAACTCAGGCCAAGCATGCAAACTAAGTGGAGAATATTAATTATATGGCATTTGCCAAATCTGTCCTTAATGATTCTGGGGGAAGGGAGGAGATATCAAAACTACTTCCAAAAGGAAAAAAAAAAGATAATTGTGCTTTCATCAGTTACACAAAGGTATAGGGAGTATTTCATTGGGAATAAAAGTACACATAGATGGTTTCATACATTTCAAACCCTTAGAAATTATATTTTATGATAAACTTCTTGAGAAGGTTGAGTACATAGACCTTTTCTCTAAAGGACAATTCTTTTCCATTGTCTCTATACAATTACTCCTATAAACTTTCTTCTGAAACAAACCCAAAGAGTGAATTATTTTAAATCCAGAATAAGAGAGAGGCTTTTGCAGTTAAAAAGTATATAGATTAAGCTTATGGTTTCACATTCCATTGGGGCCACTTTCTAAAGTTTTCTAAATTAAAGAGAAGCAGCTGCATTTTGGCATTGAGTAATCATGAATTTACTTTTTGAAATACCTCTAAGTATTTTACTATAAAAGATAAGTAAAATGTGGAAATGTACAATTTTAAAATAACGTGGAAGAGGATGTGGCATCACCGAACTTGTGCCGATCCTGTAATAACATAATAACAATAAGTGGCTTCAGGACTAGAGATGTGTATTCATTCTATTTATTTCTAAGGAGAAGCCCACAACTCGTGTATGAAAAAGTAAACACTCCAGCCTATTGTCTCTAATCTACTCATAATTTCTGGCAGCTCGGAGGAAAAAATGCGCACTTATTTCTTTCTGTTCTCTCAGTTTCTCTCTCTCTCTCTCTCTCTCTCTCTCTCTCTCTCTCTCTCTCTCAATCAATCAATCAAATGTTGCTGACCTCAAAAGTTCTGTTATCTCGCCAAAACCGGTTTGGCTCAGTGGATAGAGCGTTGGCCTGCGGACTGAAAGGTCCCAGGTTCGATTCTGGTCAAGGGCATGTACCTTGGTTGCAGGCACATTCCCAGTTGGGGATGTGCAAGAGGCAGCTGGTCAATGATTCTCTCTCATCGATGTTTCTAGCTCTCTAGCCCTCTCTCTTCCTCTCTGTAAAAACTCAATAAAATATATTAAAAAAAAAAAAAAAGTTCTGTTGTCTCTATTATTCTGAACAATCTCCATAAAATTACCCACTAGATTTCCAGGAAAGGCTGAACCCATTTCTGAGTTCATTTAGAGATTCACAGGCTCTGAGGGAAAAAAAAGCATGAATACAATTTTAATTTCCATGCCACTGAAATTACAGATCCCAAATGTAGCACCAAAATGAACTAATGCTAAAAGAAGCATTAGACTTTAAAGAGTTTACACTGTTTCTAACAGGTTCGTAATGGACAAGTTATCAATTCTAACCAACATTTTAAATTTTCACAGAGAATGATTTGTAAATATTATTCCAGCTTTATTACCACCGTAGATTTTTAAAACTAATTTCACATAAATTATTATACTAAAGACTGTAAAAGTGTTTTTGTGTTATTGTGAATTAAACACCACCATAAGAATGAGAAATTGAAACAACAAATTTGGTAACTTCTACTCTTTCATTTCTGGTTTTGTTTATTTGTGACTTTTCTCTTTTCTTCTTAGTGAGACTAGCCAGAGGTTTGCCAATTGTATTAATCTTTTCAAAGAACCAGCTCTTTGTTGCATTAATATTTTGTATTTTTTTATTTAAAAAAAGAGCAAATTTGGCATTTTTGTGATCAATATGAATTAAATGACAGGTACATAAACTAGGACCACTTATCTAATCACATCTCTA